ACAACTATAAGCTCGTCCATTACGCCTTTGAGTGCTCTAGCACTCCTCCACAGGCGTGAGTGGATATTCTGCAGTTTGTTAGAGGCCCTAACGCCTCGTGTGACATCTGCGAATCGCTCCTTAAGGAGATGAAAGAACTCAGGGAGAGGGGTGACCTTAGAATACGCGACCATATTATTCTCGCACTGTGTGGCGCGAGCGAGCAATCTAGCGAAGCTGGCGGCTTCATCCTTGAGGGCTCGGAAGGCTATGAGGACTTGTTCCTCTGGCACGATATGCTGTAAATAAATGTATGTATTTACGTTGGCCTCTCAATTATCAAAATTCTCTTTTTTCTTCCTACCGTAGGACTCGGGAAACTTGATCTTAACGGGCTCTCTACAGGGGCGTGGCTCTTCCTCCTTCGGCACGGCCAGTTTTGTGCCCTCAATGGCACCTGTATAGAACTTCTCAGTGCCCTCCATTCTCGCCTGCACTTTTGCACCTATGTGCAGCATCATCTCTCATGCAAACTCCCTAAATCCCAGGCGGATGAAGTGCAAGGCGATGTCCTGGGCTCTAGAAAACTTGTGTTGCTTGTCCCAGGCTCTGGCGAGGAGCTCTATGTTTCTCGAAATAATATCTAACTTTCCCTGTACACCTTCTTGCGCCTTAAGCTCCTCTCTCTGCACCTTTATCACCTCCAACTCTCTCGCCACCTTGTTTGCCTCCTCCATCCTTCTCTTCTTTTCCGTTGTGAGACGCAGTTTCCATTCCAACTTTTTTCCTCCTCTATAGTCTGACGTCTCAGGGGATCCTTTTCTGCTTCCCACTCCCCAATTACAGCTTCCTTCTCCTCTGGGGGAACATATAACATGGCCTCTTCCTCTTCTCCCAGAGATAAATTAGCTACCCACTTTGACACTTTCTTCTCCAACCATGATGTGTCCTTCTTCATGCCGCTAGTTTCACCTCTCTGCTCTGCACTCCTTCTGAGCAAAGGTTCTTCTCTTACTTCTTCTTCCTCAATCTCCTCCTCTTCCACTTTCTTCATTTTCTCTTCCTCCTCCTGTTTCAATCTTTCCATCTCCTCCTCTAACTTCTTCTTCTTCGCCGCCTGCTCCTCTTGCACGGCCAACTTCTTAGCCTGTCTAATTATCTCCTTCTTAGTCTCTTTCTCTTTTCTCACCCGCAGTATGGCGGCGGCTTGCTCTTCCTGAGCCTGGGTGTAAGGGGTGGTGCTCTTGCCACTACGCGTCTCAACCATGGTGAAAGGTGCACAGCCACAAATCAGTTCCACTCGTAGACTCACACCTCTGACTGGCTCACTTAGGACTGACTCGATCTAAGGACCACAGAATCTTAGCAAGATCCTGTCAACTAGGGCCTCTAGCCTAGACCTAAACTAAGGTTGTCTCTACAAGACTTACTGCTGATCAGGAGGCATTTAAGGAGATCCTCCGTAACTCCTCAGGAATTATTTAATGTCGCAAACAGGATGACGCGATCAGCAAGTCCTCTCAAGACGTAGACAGCCTGTTGTGCAGCCCACAACTCGGATTTTGGGCCTACCGTGCCACACTGAGAAGCCCGCTGGTCAGTACCGGTCCTTGGGAGGGTTCGTGTCCTCCGGGACAGTCGAGTCGTCAGACACGGCCTTTAGCCCTACTCAGCTCGTGTGGGTTTGGTCAACAAGGCTCTATCCTTCATACACAAAGGTCCTATCACCTAGACAGAAGAGACTCAATGCAGAAAGAAGAGACAGACAGACTCAGCAAGTACCATGGGGTGAGTGCACATCCATAGGGCAAGGGAATAGGTTGAAGGCTTGGCGAGAGTATACCAACTCCAGCTTGGTCAATTTCGTGGTCAGCAGCCCTGGTCAACACTGGTCAACACTTGGTCAATGCCTTGGTCCACACCAGTCAACTCGCCGGTCAACTCTCCGATCAAAGTCTTGGTCAACGTTGGTCAACCCTGCGGTCAACACCTTGGTCAACCCTGGATTCGGCTATGGCTGCCGGCACCTTCTTCCTCACCAACCCTCGCTCCTCTTTCTCCCACCTTTCTTCTTCCTCACTTTCTTCCTCTCTGCACCCCTGGCTATACTTTTTGTTTTTTTTTTGTTTTTTTTGTTGTCTCTCCCTTCTTCTTTCTCGGCTATGGCTTCTCTCTCCTTCGTCTCTCCTCCGTTCTCCTTCACTTCACCTTCTTCTTTCCTTGTAACCCATGTGCCCGAGCTCCGCGGCTATGGCC